CACAGCGCCCGGGTCCGGCCGGAGAAGGCCCGTCCAGCCCCCGGCGTGCCTCGTCCTGCCCGAGAACTGCGCCCCACACCGCGCTTCCCGCGTCCTCCACAGTACCTCGGCCCCGCGTCGCCGGCCATGCCCCTAACAGCACCGCACTCGGCCCGCGCCGCCCGCCCGTCGGAAGTGACGCGTCGGAAGCGTCCCTCCCCGCACAGGGGGCGGGGAAGGAAGATGGCGGCGCCCAGCAGCCGGTGAGGGGCTAGGACACCGGGAAGCCCCGGGGTGACCCAGCGCGTGCGTTATGGCCGCATCTCCGCACGCTCTCTCCTCACGCCTCCTGACAGGTACCCACACTCGCCTCGGGGACATTCTGGCCTCTGTGTTCTGTGGGAGGCCGTCAGTCAGTTCCGGCTGGCTGCAACCTTGGGAGCCCTTGGAGAGGTCGGCCGGTCGCCGGTAGCGAGGAAGTACCTTTCGGGGAGGCTGGAGGGAAGGAGGCGCGGAGCTACGGTCCAGGCTTGCGTGGTAACACCCCCGGGGGTCCACACCGCGACCTCGATCGCGGAGGGGCAGTGTCACGTGCTTTTCAGGTGGTGGAGCTGGAGGAGAGGGCAGGACTGGTTGGCTTGGCAGAGCCTCACCTGTTGGCGTGCCAGGACGAGGGAAGCTCATGGCATGTGTTCCTGAGACTCCTCGCTGGGGTCTGAAGAGTCACAGTGATGGGGCCAGGTGCAGACAGCAGGGCATACCTGCTCCCACCCGTTCCCCACCCAGACTCTGTATCATCTTCCCTTTGAAGGTACGGCGACAGGTGCATCTTGCAGCTGGGATGCCCTTCATCCATGGTCTCAGCTCAGAGGACACTGTAGCAGAGAGGCCCATTCTGACCGCCAAAGTCAGGCTCCGAATCACCTTCTTTCCTTCATTATGATTAGCACAATCTTTAATTGCATGTCCTGGTCTGTTCTCAGTGCCTCCCAGCTAGAATAGGAACAGGGCGGAGGGAACAACACAGTCTGTCTGGGTCACTTGTGTGTCCCCAGGGCCTCCCACACACTGCTGTTGCAGTTACTTGTGAATGATGGAATTTGTTCTCTTGGAACTATGAAAGAGGCAGGGGGGGATTGTTTTGCCCTCAGTATTTTAGGGTGATAGCTAATGGATGTGAGAGGAATACGTTTAAGCAGATCCACTGGCATGGGCCCCTTGCGGTTTGCAAAGGGCAGGGAAGTGTGGCTGAAACAAGACTGGCCAGGGTTTGGTCATTGTTGAACGCTCCTGCTTTTTTCATAGAAGTACAGTTTTCCAGGCCCAGCGGCATGGCCTAGCTGCTAAAGTCCTCACCCTGGACGCGCCAACATCCCATCTGGGTGCGGGTTCTAATCCTGGCAGCTCCACTTCCCATCCAACTCCCTGCTTGTGACCTGGGAAAGCAGTTGAGGATGGCCCAAAGCCTTGGGTCCCTGCACCCCACGTGGGAGACCCTGAAAAAGCTCCTGGCTCCTGGCTTTGGATTGGCACAGCACTGGCAGTGTCACTCACTTGGGGGAGTGAATCATCGGATGGAAGATTTTCTCTGTCTCTCCTCCTCTATGTATATCCGCCTTTCCAATAAAAATAAATAATTCTTTTTTTTAAAAAAAGAAGTACAATTTTCCATAAGGAAAAGCTGGTTTTTAAAAATGTATTTGAGAGGTAGAGAGAGGGAGAGAGGAATGTGCAAATTCGCACCTGCTGGTTCATGCCTCATCTATCCTCAATGGCCAAAATTGAGTGAGGCCAAATTCAGGAGCTGGGCAACACACTCCATCTCTCATTCAGTAGGGACAGGACCACTGCCTGAATTAAGAGCCATGTGGAGAACCTGGGTGCCCTAAAATGGGGTGGGTGTCTTCAGCACTAGGTCCAGTGTCCACCCCTTAAAGCCTGACGGTGTTTTCTTTCTTATTTCTTTTTTTAAAGGTCCTTGCTTCTTGTTTCAAATCACTTTTTGGTTACTTTACCATTCCTGACTGCTCTTTGATCATGACCTCACACGCTCATTCTCAGAGGCCTCCTCCTCCCGCAGTGTATAATTATCACTTCCCTGTGGTTTCTCCAGCTGCCTCCCTCTGGCTAGCTGGCTTGCTTTCTGCCCAGGCATGCTGTATTTTCAGCTTCCCCAGGGGATAATCCCCGAGGGTCCCAGTTCCAGTAGACAGACAGCTCCATATCCTGTGATGCTGGAGCCGCGTTTGCGAGGGTGGGACAGAGGAATTCATGGATGGCTTGCGTTCTGAAGCTGTGAACAGTCTCCAGAATGTCTGCCAGGAAGTGGTCTGTGTGACTCAGTGCAAGCCCCTGGGAAGATCCTTCATGACCGCGTGCTGAGAAGGGCTGGCCGGAAAGGTGCTGGGGGGTCTCATGAGCTTTGCCTTCCAAGCATTTTATAGCTGTGATGAATTTCTGAGAACATTCTGCTCCTTGTCTCCTTGCTCAGTGGTCAAACCCTGTAAGCGTGATAAAGGGTTGCTGATGGACAGCAGGTATTATGCATTTCCAGATTGTTCTCTTTTATTTTTATTTGAAAAACGAATTTACAGACATTGAAGGAGAGAGAGAGGTCGTCTATTCACTAGGTTGACTTACCAAATGGCTACAGTGGCCAGAGCTGGGCTGGTCTGAAGCCAGGAGCCTGGAGTTTCCTCCAAGTCTCCATGTGGGTGCAGGGACCCAAGAACTTGGGCCATCCTCCACTGCTTTCCTGGGCACCTTAAAGAGCTGGATTGGAAGAGGAGCAGCTGAGATTTGAACTGGTGTCCATATGGGGATTTTGGCATTGCAGGTGGAGGCATAACTTGCTATGCCACATCACCAACCCCAAGTCTCCAATGTAAACATAATCACATATTGTTGAAATATTTTCCTACATACTAATTCACAGAAATGGGACCTATTTTAATTAAATGAAGCCTTTTCAGCTGTAAGTACACTTTTCTTTTCTAGCTGTTTTTCTTTCCTACCATTCTGTGACATCTCAGTCTGACCCTCTTGATATTGAGAGCTCTTTTCCCACGTGCTTCCAAGACAAACTCATATTCATTCACATGGAAAATAAGTGTATCATCCTTCACTGAGGTTTGAGGACGTGACTTTGCCCAGCGTGACTTGTCTTCAGTCTCAGATCATTGCTGTGTATGTGGAGGGGCTGTGAGAGTTCTCCACTGTCTAGGCCATCTCAGTGGGCTCCGCAGTGGTCAAGCATCATTTCATAACTCTATGGAAAACATCCCACCTGCTCTTGGAACAAAGGCGAGGAAAGGAGAGTCCCTGCCGCTGAGAACTAAAACAAAATAAAGTAAAATACTTTGCTGATGAACACAAATGGATCCAGTTTGCATCAAGAAATGCCAAACACTATTATATAAAGCAATAGGGTAGTTGATGAAAGAGACCTTAAGAAATTAATAGGCAGAATGGTGCAGTGGCCTAGTGGCTGGAGTCATTGCCTTGTACACACCAGGGTCCCAAATGGATGCTGGTTCTAATCTCAGCAGCCCCACTTCTCATCCAGCTCTCGTCTTGTGGCCTGGGAAAGCAGTAGAGGATGACCCAAAGCCTTGAGATCCTGTGCCAACATGGGAGACCTGGAAGAAGCTCCTGGCTCGTGGCTTCAGGTTGACTCAGCTCTAGCCATTGCAGCCACTTGGGGAGTGAATCATTGGACAGAGGAGCTTCCTCTCTGTCTCTCCTCCTCTCTGTCTGACTTTCCAATAAAAAAAAAAATCTTTAAAAAAAATGGTGTACGAGGTAATTACATAAACAGATGAATCCACCTGAGAAATACGTCATGTGTCTAGTGGAGGCTCCGGAGACAGAATTGCTTCAGGGAGATGTAGGGCCACAGGTGGGCAAGCAGCATCTATTCTGGTTGCAAGATGAGAACCATTTACTTTAGGGAGCGTGAACTGGGAAGAAAGAAAGTTGCTGATGGCTGGATGACCACTTGCCTCATACTGCTGCTACCCTGGTGAAGGGCAGACAGTAAGGCGTATTGGGAGCAATGGGAAGACATGGAGAGATTTGACTTACGTGTTCGTATTGACTGGACGCAGTGGCTATTAGATGATGAAAAGAGAGTGCAGGATGTTCCTGAACTCTCAGCGGGGAGTGGTTTTATCTGCAGCAGGGAACAGAGCAGACGGACGGGTGGGATAAAGCGTTGTTAAAGACATCCGGCCCCATCTGTGTGGTGGTACCAAGAGAGCCAGCACTAAGAAATAGGGATCATGTCTTGAAGAAAGGGGTTAGAGAAATTACCTGGGAGACAGTGCTGTGGCATTGTGGGTTAATCTGCCACCAGCATGCTATACGGGCACAGGGTTGGAGTCCCAGCTGCCCCACTTCTGATCTGACTCTCTGGGAAAGCAGTGGAAGGTGGTCCAAGTGGTCAGGCCTCTACTGCCACATGGAAGCCCTGGGCCTCCAGCTTCTGATTGGCACAGCCCTGGCCATTGCCGCCATGTGGGAAATGAACAGAACACGTTGGAAGACCTCCCTCTCCCCGTGCCTTGATAGAAAGGGAGAATCCACAGATTGTCAAAGGTTTGAATTAAGATGAGGCCCGGGGCTGGCGGTGTGGCGCCACAGGTTCACTGGGTGCCTGCAGTGCCACTGGCGTTCCATGTGCATGTCTGGTTCAAGGCCTAATGAAAGACCTCTCCGTTCCCTTCCCCTCCTCCCTCCTCGCCGCTCTCCTGTCACTCTCCATCCTCCGCTTTCTCTCTCCATCTTTCTCTGTTACTCTGCCTTTCAGATAGATTGATGTTTTTTTGAGCAGGTTGAGGCCTGAGAAAGGAGCACTGGGATGGTCAGAGTGTGAGCGAAGTTGGAGCGGAATGAGTCAGAGCCGGGGTTGCGTGCAACCCAAACTGCTTACTGCTGCCTGAACTAACAGGCTGCGCATTGGGAACTGACTTCTCTTCATTTGTCTTACTCGCCATGGCCAAAATATCAACCTGAAACATAGACATAGTTCAATTTACTGCTACATATTAAAAAGGAAAAAAAATTGTACTTTTCACTTTCCACTTTCTAAAAAAGTTTCAGAACTCATTTGAAAGACTCATCTGAAGAAGGGTGTGTGCAGTGCGTAATCATGTTAGCACTTGATACGGTAAAAGCAAAATGACCCCAGAATGACAGATTTCTTCTGTCTTTGTGAAGAATTACACTTAAACTGCACACTTGCTGTTAGATCGCCTTTCTATGCAAATCCGCGTGAGGTCATTCTTGCAAAACTCTGAGCGGCAATGCATGGGTCAGGACAGTCATTGTCACGCCCGTTCCTCTTCTCTCCCTCTTGCAGGTTGGGTGGGAGGATGCCTGCTGTCTCTGGAAGGAAGAGTTCTCCGAGACTCCCCTGACAGGTTCCTGCACCTGTTCAGAAGTGTCAACAGGCAGCGAGTTTCATTTCAGCACTTCGCCTTCCTCAAGCGCACGGTACGTTCCGAAGGCTGTCTCTGCTCTGTTGCTTTCTCCCGGCTCTCTGTGGGAGGCAATTTCAGAACTTTCTAGTATAAGAAGAGTTTGAAGGAGTTTAACTTCGTGTCCTCTTGAGTTTATCCAAAACTCTTGTCTCTTGTTTTGATTATTCTTAACTGAAAGCAGACTAATTGCGGTGTTTGAGCTTAAAAGCATGATTCTGAACCTATTGATTAAGTTTGGAGAAAGATTGAAAACTTCTGGCATACTTTGACTTGGCTAAAATTAGGAAAAGCTGAACTGCTATGATATATCTTTTGTAAATTCTTTGAAGTTCTATGAATATCTGAGTTAATATAGAAATAATTGCTTTAACGGTGTGGTGCTCTTGTTTTTTCAGTAGAGCATTGGAAGGCCTTTTTAGCATATTATACTTACGAACAGATTTAAAGAAAGTGAGGGTTTTTGTAATTTGCTAGTCATGTTGCAGTGGACATGGATAAGGTATTAGGCCTTTATCTGGGCTGATTTTATGCCGTCATAGACATCCTGGTAACTTAGCGGGGCGTTTGTCATTGTCTCTGCTGGCAGAGCTCCGCTGAAGGCCGTCACAGGGAGGGGAAGGGTTGCAGCACCCACATAAAATAACAGCAAATACATCCAGTTCCGTGTGACGTCCCTCTCCGCTTTCTTAGAATGCCCACTTTACAGTTAAAACTTCAATTTAAAATCTTCAACTCATTATGTTGATATGAGGTTTAAATCTCTATAAATGTTTGGGCTTTCTAACTTAGGGGTCAACAATAATGAATAGAAGACAAAGTCAAGTGTATACGTGATGGGTTTGTTACATAAATAGACTTCTGAACTCTTTCTTGAGTTCTTGAAGTCTTACCTGAGACTGGTATGTGTAAGGCTAAGACTTTGGAGGCAATGAGTGGAAAGGCACTTTACCGTTACCTAGGATAGGCGGTCCCATGGTCCGGGGCTACGTGGAACTAGTTATTGAGGAACACTGTTAGTAATGGTACTGTGAAAGCTGTTGAGAAGATGGAATACAATAGATGCCGCATAAACTAGCAAATGTCAGTAGTGCTTATTAATTTTGGCTTATAAGTGATAAAGCCTACCTGACTCCAACTCCTCTACTTTTTCCCACCGTGTGGGTACAACATCCCTTAACTCTGGGTTTGTGTCCCCAGACTAAGCCCCTCTTGGTCCTGTCTGCTCAAGCACGTGGAAAGGATTCTAGTTCACTTGGGCTTTTGATGACAGAAAACTGCTTGTGCTGAGCATGTTAAGGCTCCATGGGAAAATTCTAGAAGAAATCAATTGCGAAATGCACTGACCTTTTTTTCCAGACACCTGCACTCCTTTGGTTTTCTACGGGACAGATGTGAAAACCTTGATGGAGACTTTCACTTTATCCTTCCTATCCTAGAGTGTGATGAATTCCACATAATGAATGTTCTGTAGATACAAGCAGAAGTAACTAATATCGAAGTTGCAGTACCACAAAAGAAAAGTATTTTCAAGTCAGCCCGACGCATAGTGTTGGTCCCAGATGACATGTGGGGCCTCGCTTTCACGGTAACTTATGTTTGCTTTCTTTGCTTAGTACATCACACAACTGAACAGGAGCCTTAACCAGCAAGTAAAACCAAAGCCAGAGCCAGAGGCCTCCCCCTTCCTCGAAAAAGCATCTCCCAGCCAACCCAATGCAGATATCTGTGAGATGAGACCCCTCGCGGCGCCGAGTCTGTCTGTGTCCAGAAGGCCAAAGGGGAAGGAGTTGATCGAAACAGAGCCTGACTTGCCATGCGAAAGCACCACAGGCACGGAAGACACAAAAGAAGAAAAGCAATGGAAAGAGATGAAGCTGCGTGTGGAGGACCTGCCGGGAATCTTGGCCCGACTCTCCAAGATCAAACTCACAGGTACCGTTTTTTGTCAGTCTCTTCCATGTAATCGAGGTTCGAGGTTAAGTTATCTGAATCCCATTTACACAGAATTGTAAATCGCATCCCAATCTGGGATGGTGCCCAGAGGAACCTGGCTCTCCCTTGGGATTAAGTGGACCGTTGATCCCAGCACCTCCCTGTCGCCAGTGTTTTTGCACCTACTGTAGTTTCAAATGCAGTGTATAGAGAGTTCTGGAACCAGGAGAATTATACTGCCGGGCCTGCTGGGAACCCGCAGTGGCCCCCAGGACTTGGAGCTGCCTTCTGTGTTTCACTTCTTGTGGGGGTCTCTTGATTGTACCCAGTGTGGTTTTCTTAAAAGAGCCTTGCAATCTTTTTTTTTTTTTCTCCTTCCCCTTGGCTGAGTCCTGGCACACTATATACCTAATTTTATTGCATGTATTTTAGTATTAACTTATAATTATGTCATTCCATTTTCACAATCACCCTGTGAGTCAGGTACCACATTGTTATTATCCTAGCTCCTAGCTAAGTTGGACACAGGTGATTCTGGGCTGGCCCCGTGCAGTGCAAATGGATTCTGGAGATCTGTGCCTCCGAGGAGACCCAGTCTCTTCCTCTCTTCTTGAAGAGTGAGATCAAATCTTCGGGGTGGTAATAAGCTAAAGCCAGGTGCTTATGGAACAGTTCTTAAGTTAAAGTAACAGAGGAGGACCAATGGGAGTCCAGACTCCAGGGTGAAAAGAGGCAGACCTGTTTCCTCAGGATCACCCGGGGGATGATGGACACTAGCAGAGGGGGAGTGAATGAAGAAGCCGAGGATCTGAGTAAGGCTTCTGCGGTGGAACTGTGACGGTGGCTGCGGTGCTGTGTGCCAGGAGCCACTGCATCTCTCAAGAACTTACCTTGTCATTTACACAAGTACTCTGTGTGTCATATTGGTGACCTATTCAAGGATGACTGTAGAGAAATTCCAGGCATGAGAATGTCACCTTTAAAAGGGGGCCTCTAGGACCCTTTCCACCCTAACCAGTGGGCCACACGGGCATGCATCCTTCTCAACTATGTAATCATCATCCAAAAAAAAAAAAAAAGAAAGAAAGAAAGAAAAAAAGAGGGCCAGTATGGTAGCCTAATGGCTAAAGTCCTTGCCTTGCATGCTCTGCAATCCCAGATGGGTGCCAGTTCATATCCTGTCTGCTCCACTTCCCATCCAGTTCCCTGCTTGTGGCCTGGGAAAGCAGTAGAGAACAGCCGAAGCCCTTAGGACCCTGTACCCACGTGGGAGACCCAGAAGAGGCTCCTGGCTTTGAATTGGCTCAGCTCCAGCCATTGTGGCCACTTGGGGGAGTGAACCAGCAGACGAAAGATCTTTCTGTCTCCTTCTCTCTGTAAATCTGCTTTTCCAATAAAAATAAGTACATCTTCAGACAAACAAACAAAAAGAGGCCATCTTTTCTCAGCAGTGGTTTTTGTGCCCATCAGGAGCCCCTTTCTTTGCGTGCAATGTCATGTAGCATGGCTGTCTGCTGGGCACACCAGCCCTGTGTCCCTGCCCTGTGCCTGGCGGCTGGCAGCGTACTGCACCTTAGCTCTGGCCTCCCCATCTTCTGCATCTCTAGGTTAACATCCCACTCTTTTCTGTACCCGTACAGTTGCTCTCCCTCTTGCTAAAACCGGTCTCCTAGTTCCGGTCCAGAGTGTGTGAGGCCTCTGGCTCTGCTGCAGCTCCTCCCCACTCTCGGCCCTTATTCTTACCACCGCCACCACCACCCCCCCTGCCAGCCCCTGCAGTTCTTGCTGTGCACAGTCGCCAGACTGACTTGGCTGAAGCATGCGTGGCCTTCAGTTTTTCCAAGTTCACCCTACATAAGCGTCTATAGTCCCTCCATTGCCTCCTGCCACCGCTCCACCTGTTTCTAAATAAATGTCATGTGGAATGATCCCACGTTTTGCCAGAAGCATGCAATTTTTCCCCTCACCCTGGTCCCCACTCTGGCCTTCCGTCCTGCACGCATGTTCCCCTGCCTTCCTGGGATGCGGGTCGGCCTGTTATTCAGCCAGCCAGATCCTTCCAGGGCCTCTCCGTGCAGCCCGGCCTTGGCCCCAGTTCCCCTTCTGAAAACAGTGAAGGTGGCTTTGAAGTCCAGCAGACTTCAAGTTGAGATGCTGGCCTTAACACTTACTAGCCAGAGGGTCTGGGCAGTTCCTGAACCTCACTGTGACAATTTCCACATCTGTAAAATGGAAATAATAATGAATCATTTCACAACGAGATTACATAATGCCTTGAGCAGCGCCCAGCCACATGCATGCCTCACGCACATGGAAGGCTTGGAGAGGTGCGCTTCCTAACAGTTCCGGTTAGTCACTGGATTGGGTTGCACTTGCCCTTCAGCTGGCTTCTGCCTGTGGAGTCACTGAACAAGTATTTACTTACCAGGCGAGAAAGATGAGGAGGGGATCAGTGGTCCATGGCTGAAGCCTCTTCTAGAACGACCCAAGCGTGTCCAGACACCTGCTGAGCAATGGGGAGCAACCCCGCGTGACCTCACTGTCTCCTAAGAGAGGCGGTTACCAGGATGGCAGAGTTAGGCAGGGGTCACGTGGTCGTACTGGCACAGTAGGAAGGCCTGGAAGGTTCTTTGGAAGGACATCGTGTTGTTTTGTTCGTCTTTTAGTACTTATTACAAAGGTTGAGGAGGGTGCAGACTCACGCGACCCCCGTCAGGAGGGAGAGTGTAGGAGTTGGTGGGAAGGCGAGGAGATGGATTTTTCAGTGTTCCCTGTTATGTCCGTGGGGCAGCGGGGAAGGGGGACCATATTAGTGGTTTTTTTTATTATAAGTGCATGAAAGGAGGTTCTTGGGATAGGAATGACTTTTTTGTTATTATTGTTTGGTTGATTTTTTTAAAAAAAGATTTATTTGTTTTATTGGAAAGGCAGATGTACGGAGAGGAGGAGAGACAGAGAGAAAGATCTTCCGTCCGATGATTCAGGACCCAGAGCACTGTGTGATGCTGGTGTGTGGATCACACTTTGAGAAAAGCCAAGTCGGCGATCCTCGGACCAGCGAGCTTGGGTCCCAGACCAAGAGGTCTGGCTGGAGGTGGAAAGAACCGGGCCTCCTGAGAGCCAGTGCAGCTGGTGAGGGCCTCTGGCAGCAGGAAAAGCCAGCTGGGCAGAGTCTGGACCACACAGGAGACGTATGGGAAAGTGAGATGCACCACAGAGGGAAGGAGGAAGGGAGCGAGCCAGCCGCAGCCTCACCTACAGCCAAGGATGGAAAAGTCCCAGGGCAGTCAACTTCCCCTCGTATCATTTTATGTATTCCATGCCCCAGGTTTCTGGGTGAACTAAATGAATTAAAGCCATTTCCTTCTGCTTATTCCATTTAAACGAGCGGCACCCTTTGGGTGACCCCTGCCCTTTTATCTGACCTCTTACTTTGCCTATTTAGTTTATTACTTGAATTCACACATCTTAGAGTCAGCAGGATTTTTTTTTTTCCCTCCTTTAAGAAAATCCCTGGTATTTATCAATTGATTTCTTTTGGACTCTTCACATCTTGGGCAATTCATTTATAGCTTGCTAATGATAGGTCAGGCAGAAAAAAAAAATCTGAGAGCCAGCGATCACTTTTCTAGAACTCTGCTCCCTTTTCCTCCTTTTTGTTTATAGCTGTAATATACCAAGGGTAATTAACTGGAGTAAGTGCAAGGCCAGGCCGTGGTCATCCTGCTGATTTCTTCGCTGGGGGAACAGGGCGGCAGCAGCCTGATGCCCCGGCCCTGACGGCCAACGTTTGCTGGTGCTAAATAAAGGTTTTTCTGCCCGCCGCCCCCTGTGAGCGGATATAATACCGAGTTTATAAAGAAGGAATAATGTGTCCCCCTTGGGTTTCTCTCTTGCCAGCTGAGCTATTTACAATATGTGTTTAGAGTTTGTTGCATGGACCACACTGGGGGTGAAGAAATTTTATTTGGATTAGGATCATAAGAGGCGTTGGCGACTGAACTGAGTTTATGCTTAATATAGGTCAATAAAAAGCAGGACATTTTTTTTTTTCTTCTTTCCCTTCCTGGATAACATCTGTGTTGAAAAGCTCCACCACATTTTCTGAGCCCAGAGCCCTGAAACAGATTTTTTTTATTGGAGCCGACACATTACGCTGTCGATGGCACCGATATTAACTGCTGTCTGTCAATGTATGGATTTTTGTAGACGGCGAGAGCTGAGCAGGCTGCTGTTTTATTAACAGGCAGAGGGGGAAAGCAGAAGCAGAGGCTGCAGGTTCATCTCAGATGCTCACATGAAAATCAGTTTGCTCTCATCGGCACTTGTCGGACATCTGAATCAAGAAATTTCCTACATTTGCCCGAAAACACTGCATCTCAACGGCCCTTGAATTGTGCTTTATATTTTGAAATATACTACTTTGACAGTAATATACTTCCTAGGTATTGGAGTAGTATTTTTAATTGTTTCACAAGAATTTCTGTTTTTTTTAAAAAAATAAGCACCATAGGTAGACAAACAGAAAACAGATCGAAATACCACCAACTCACTGATGTATTTCCCTTCAAGATTTTGGTTTTTGGGGTAGCATCCTCTAGACTTGTTCCCTGTGTATATTTCAGTTCATCGGCTCTTGTTTTTTTTTTTTTTTTTTAATGCACCTATCTCTCTTTGGTGACTTAAAAAGTTTGCGAGGAGCATTTTCTTTACACAGAAGCAGCGAAGAGCATGCCCACAGCCCACTGCAGGCTTTCAGCACAGTGTTCCCGTCCTAGCCCTGCTCGGTCCCCATGGTGGGGTTAGTAGCCCAAGCTCTGGAGTCGGACGCACACTGGCCATGCTGGAATCCCCAAACGGCACCATCCTGGTCTGTTGGATCACAGTCACTTTTTTTTTTTTTAATGTGTCAGCCTGAGCCCCTTCCTCAGCAAATGGGCTGATCCTGTCTATAAGGCTTGTTGTGAAGATTGTCAAAAAAAAAAACACAGAACATAATT